AGAATGCTTATTAAAAATATCAAAGATCAAAATCAATGGAGACAAATGTTGTGTTCATGGACTGCAAGACTCAGCATAGTGTGAAAGGAAAATAAAATCTCTGGACACCAAATTCACTCTGCCAAGGGGAAAAGTTAGGGTTGGAAACTGAGTCACAGAAAAAAGCAAAAACCCTGCATGTCCTTTTGTTCCTAAACTGATAGCTACAAATAGAAGGCCGTGTGTCTCCACGGGCACCCCCAGCCCTGGCAATGTAAATTAACAGTCTGTCTTCATGAGTATGGGGTAGGAGGGCACTAGAAATGGTCCCCACACATGCCCACTCCAAGATGAATGCATATTGACTGATTCCTCTATTTTTTTCTTTTAAGAGAGACTCCTGCTCTGTCACCCAGGCTGGACTACAGTGATACAAACACAGCTCCCTCTAGCCCTGAATTCCTGGGCTCAAGTGATCCTCCCACCTCAGCCTCCTAAGTAGCTGGGACCCCAGGCATACGCCACTGCACAGGGCCACTTTGTTAAGTTTTGGTAGAAATGGAGCGTTACCATGTTGCCCGGCTGTCCTCAAACTCCTGGCCCCAGTCGATCCTCCCATCTCAGCCTCCCAAAGTGCCAAAGGCATGCGCGCCACCTGGCCTGCTTCCTCTAGTCCATGTTTACTGTCTCTTGTAACGTGCAGATTGACTGAGTGTGAGGCAAATACACAATGGACTGTTCCCCCTACTTCCTTCTTTTCACACGCAACAAGTGGATTCACGAGAACATGGCCATACCCTCCCTGTTTTCTCTTTCCCCTTTCCCTGCCTGTCCACTTTTCCCCATTAAATACTGGAGCCCTCAAAATCCTCTTCAGCAAAAGTACCAGCCACAGCTCCTCCTGTATTCGGGTTTCTTTTTCCAGGCTCTTCCTCAACCGTGGCCACATCAACTTCTAAATTGAGACCAACCTGTCTCAGATACTTTTTGGTTTACAATAGTAAAGAGAATCAGTTCTCCCCAATTGGTCTATCAAAATCTCAGCATGATTTAAATTTGACATAAACACGTTTTTTCTTTTTGAGATGGAGTCACTCTGTTGCTCAGGCTGGAGCGCAGTGGTACAGTCTCAGCTCACTGCAACCTTCACCTCCTGGGCTCGAGTGATTCTCTGTGTCAGCCTCCCAAGTAGCTGGAATTACAGGCATGCACCACCACACCCAGCTAAGTTTTATAATTTTAGTAGATCTGAGGTTTCACCATGTTGGCAAGGCTGGTCTTGAACTCCTCACCTCAGGTGATTCACCTGCCTCAGCCTCCCAACCTGCTGGGATTACAGGCCTGAGCCACCATGCCTTGCTGTAAACAAGTTTTTTCATAGATTTACATGGAAAGGCAAAGGAACTAGCATAGGTAAAACACAATACTAAAAGAGAATAATACAGTTGCAGAAACCACTCTACCTATTTTTTGTTGTTTTGCTTTAGAGACAAGGTGGTTGTTCTGTTGCCCAAATTGGAGTGCAGTGGTGCGATCACAGCTCACGGAAGCCTCTGCATCCTGAGCTCAAGTGATCTCCCACCTCAGCCTCCCAAGTAGCTGGGACTACAGGTACACGCCATCACACCCAGTAACTTTTTTATTTCAATAGATTTTGAGGGAACAGGTGGTATTTGGCTACATGAATAAGTTCCTTAGTGGTGATTTCTGAGATTTTGGTGCAGCCATCACTGAGCAGGGTACACTGCACCCAGCGTGTATTCGTCCAGCCCTCTCCCCCTCCCATGTCTTCCCCCAAGTCCCCAAAGCCCATTGTAACATTCTTATGCCTTTATGTCCTCATAGCTTAGCTCCCCCAGCTAATTTTTAGATTTTTTGTAAAGACAATGTCTCACTATGTTGCCCAAGCTGGTCTCAAACTCCTGTGTTCAAGCGATCCTCCCGCCTCCCAGTGTGCTGAGATTATAAGGCGTGAGCCACCACACCTGGCCATACCTAATTTTTTACTTGCATTTCTCATAGAAAAAAATCCCAAAATGGAAATCACCATTTTCATCCTTACCAGATGTACAATTATGTGATTTTTAGTATAGTCATAATTCAGCACAGCCATCACCACTGTCTATTCTGAATATTTTCATCACAGAAGAAATTGTACTGATTGACAGTCACTCCCCAATTCCCCCATGCCCAGCTCCGGCAACCATTCATTTACTTTCCATGGATTTGCCTGTTCTGGAAGTTTCATAGAGATACAATCATATGATCATATGACACCTTTTGTGCTTGGTTTCTCTCACTTAGCATAACTGTCCCAACTTCCATCCATGTTATAGCATGTATCAACATCTCATTTCTTTGAACAATCAAATCCTATTCCATGATATAGATAGACCACAATCCACTTATCTAGTCATGAGTTGATGGATATCAATTTGGGTTGGTTTCACTTTACTCAACGTATATGATGTGGAAAAGGGTTTTTCCTAGGTTTCTACATATAACATCATTTCATCTGCAAACGAAGATGGTTTTCCTTCTTCCTTTCTCATCTGGATGTGTTTCATTTTCCTTGCTTAACTTTCCAGGCTGAAACCAACTCGGTGTGAGTGGAGGCTGTGCCAGAAGACAGTGTCCTTCAACAGGTGGACGGGCACACACTGTGGGCCACGTACATCCAAGATCGTGGCTCGCTAGTCAGCAACACAGAGGAGTTGGGACTGAGAAACACACACCACAGAAGGCCCCATAGCGAATGGCCCCATGAACATTCTCAAAATGACAAAGCAGAGATGGAGAATAGATGGTGAGCTGAAGACAAGCATGACTAATGGGATGGCACTGGGAGCTCTCTGTGCGGACAGGCCTGTATCCTGTCGGGGTGGTAGTCACATATCCATGCTTGGGACAAGATGGTGCAGAACTATATGCACTGGCCGGTGTTAATTTCCAGATTTACATCATTTCATCTGCAAACGAAGATGGTTTTCCTTCTTCCTTTCTCATCTGGATGTGGGGCAGGGCTGCTGGTCCCATCTGCCGGTGGCTGGCTGGAGAACTCTGTGACACGGCCACATGAGCACAGACCTGAGGAAGTGTGTGCGATCTGGGGAAGGGCCTCTGGGCAGAGATGATGGAAAGGCCTGGTGCAGGAGTATGCCAGGGACTGGAGAAAAAGCTGGCACCCCACGTGCTGCTCTCAAACTCCTGTGTCCAAGGGATCCTCCTGCCTCCTCCCAAAGTGCTGAGATTACAGGCGTGCGTGAGCCACCACACCTGGCCTTACCTATTTTTTTACTTGTATTTTTCATAGAAAAAAAAATTCCATGATATAAAATTCACCATTTTCATCCTTACCAGGCATACAATTATATGATTTTTAGTCACAATTCAGCACAGCTATCACCACTGTCTATTCAGAACATTTTCATTATATATTCACTAGTGGGAGGGAGAGTATGCAACTGTATTTCCTATTCTTCCCCCCCACCTGCCCATCTGAGATGGAGTCTCACTCTGCTGCTAGGCTGGAGTGCAGTGATGCGATCTCGGCTCACTTCAACCTCCGCTCCCAGTGTTCAAGTGATTCTCCTGCCTCAGTCTCCCGAGTATTTGGAACTACAGGTGCACACCACCATGGCCAGCTAACTTTTGTATTTTTAGTACAGACAGGGTGTCACCATGTTGGCCAGGATGGTTTTGATCTCTTGAACTCATGACCTCCCTGCCTTGACTTCCCAGAATGCTGGGATTACAGGCGTGAGCTACCACGCCCGGCCCTGCCTTTCCCATTCTATGTATTCATGTTTGTAACTAAATTTTTATCCTTTTCCTTAAAAAGCCCCCCAAACTGTAGCCTTTCATCTCATGCAAGCTGGGCCATCCCTGAGTGGGAAGGAGGATGGGGAAGAGGTGGGAGGCTGGCCCATGGGGCCACGGGAAACACTGTGACTCCAGGTGGTACCTCGGCCCCCAGGGTTCCTAGCAGAGGAGCAACTCCACAGGGGATTAACAGGATCCCAGTGGCTGCTGAGGGGAGTGTGAACTAGGGGGGCCCAGTGCGGAAGTGGGGCCAGGGGATGCGATTCCACCATCCAGGCAAAATAATTCTGGCTGGGACTGGGTTGGAAGAAGTGCAGGTTGATTGAAAATGGCTGGGGAAGGCAGAGCCGGTAGGGTTGTGAGCAGTCGGAGATAGCCTCAGAGAGGTCACAGATGACTCTCAGGGTCTGACTGGAGCATCTCCTGAGAGGCTGGGGGTGGGGCAGTGCAGGAGCTCTGAGAGGAGGGAGCCCACCGCCGGGACTGTCCTCGCCTCCCTCCAGGCTCCAGAAGAGACCTCCTTCATGATACCCTGTCTAAGCGGAAGGTGCCCCAGGAGCTCACCATGGGGGCTGAAGATGGCAGCCCCTCCAGGAACTTATGCCCCAGGCCCTGAATTCAGGCTGCCTAAGTCTGTGTGCCTACATCTGTGCGTATATGCATGTCTGCATGGCTGTGTGTGCGCGTCTGTGTATCTGTGTATGCATGTCTGTGTGTCTATGTGTCTGTGTGTGCATTTCTGTTTGTCTTTCTCTGCATGTTTGCATGTGTGTCTCCATGTGTCTGTGCATTTCTGTGTGTCTATGTGGTCTGTGTGACTGCTGTATGTTTGTCTTTCTCTGCATGTGTCTCCGTGTGTCTCTGTGCATGTCTGTGTGTCTATGTGGTCTGTGTGACTGCTGTATGTTTGTCTTTCTCTGCATGTGTCTCCGTGTATCTCTGTGCATATGTCTCCGTGCATCTCTGTGCATGTGTCTCTGTGTGTCTCTGTGCATGTCTGTCTGTGTCTGTCTATATTTCTGTACATCTTTGTACATGTTTGTGCGTCTGTGCATCTGTGTGTCTGCATGTATGTTTTTCTGTATATGTCTTTGGCTGTGTGTATGTCTGTATGTAATGGTGTGTCTCTGTGGCCATGGTGGGGGGGGGTGATTTGAGGTGGGGGCAGGGCCTAGGTTTCAATTGTTTTCAACAGGACGGAAAAAAGAAGCGGACTTTATCCATTCTTCTAAAACCAAGGGTGGGAGGGAGATGGGGCTGCCAACCCTCCCAGAGCCCACCCGCTCATGGGTTCCGGATTGCCTGGTGGTTCTTGGGTACCGCCACAAACCTCAGCTTCTTCAGGAGGGGGGGCCAGCCCAGCAGTTGCTGGTCCCACAGGTACTCGGGGGATAGCACCTTGGTGGGTTTGTGGCGCAGCAGGTACTTGTTCAGGTGGCTCTCGTCGTGCCACACGGCCTCGATGCCATTGGCCTGGTCCATCATCATAGCCTGGTGGCAGGCCCTGGTAAGCCGCTGCACCTCTGGCACTGACCCCCCGAAGAACCCCCCCAGGTAGTAGAAATCTCCCTCGTCCCTGGGGATGTAGGCCTGGGACTGGGGCCGGCGCTCATAGGTGAAGGCCTCCCGGCTGCTTCCATAGAAGGCGGGATGCAGGGTGCCGAACAGCGGGGACAGGATCTCCACGCCCACGTGGTCACTGAACTTCATGTCCACGTCCGTGCACACCAGGTAATCCACCTCGCGGAGGAAGCGCCGCTCGCAGAAGTCGCTGATCATCTCCATGCGGCGCATGGACACGTCCTGCCAGCGCTGGTAGGCGCGCACCTCGAGCACCGACAGCTGCCGGCCCGCCCCCAGCGCCACGTGCGGCACCGCGGCTGCCTGGTCGGTGAAGATGTAGTAGTGGACCCGGTGGCCCACCATGAAGTGCTTCTCCGCCGTCTCCAGGAACAGCTTCACGAAGGCCACGTATCTGCAAGGCAGGGGAACAGGGGCTGGGGAGCCGCTGGCCGTGCACCCGTGGGAAGCCTGCCCTGTACGCTTCCACCAGCGGCCATGGGAAGGCTCAGAGGAGCAGATGCACCATGTTCTCCTGCCCTGTCCTGAGCGAGTCCTCGGGCTGTGACTCACTTCATCATCTTCCCAGGACAGGCAGCTGGAGGCTCATAGTAGGCCACAGGCTGGTGCCGGCTTACTTGTCCTCGGCCCGGCCTGAGCCACCAGGCAGCTGCCCCTCTTATGCCCGGGCCAGCCATGTGCCCCCATTAGAAGCTGCGCTTGGGTGCAAGCTCCACCTCTGCACCCTAGAGCTTCCTCCGTCCCAGGCTTGAACTGCACATATTCCTAGGAGTAGGTCATTCCTGGACTCCACCCCTGGATCAGGAACCAGGCCTACCACGTGGGGGAAGGGAAAAAGGGGACCCAGAAAGAATTGGGGTAAAGGGTTGTTGAGGCCACAAACCCGGAGTCCAAAGGTAGAACCTCTAGACCCAGGTCAGGTGTCCTACCCCAGGACATTTTTTCCAACTGCCTCAGATGGCTGGCCCCTCCTTCAGGTCCCTCAGGGCCGTGTGCCACCGTCATGGGGGGCGGCTGTCTACCACCATTCAGCAAGTGTGATGAGCCCCCTGAGGCCCCGAGTTTATGGAGCAGGCACCGTGGCTGCTTTGCTCCATCTGGCTCATTGGCAAACTACTCACAAGGACCCTACAGATACCTGGGAGGGACCCATGTCCCAGGGAGCCAGTGAGCCCAGTGGGGAGCCCAGGCATGGCAGTCAGGCCCTGGGGTGCAAGTCCAGGCCCAGTGTGGCTGTGGGCTCAAGGCTTAGCTCTGTAGGGCTGCTTCTCCCCACAGGCACTGGGGATGTGAGGACCACCTCAGGGTCCAGAGAGGACACAGACAGCCAGCCTACAACAGCGAGGTGGTACCCTGATGCAGCCCCCAGGGGCAACTCCCCAGCACTCTGTCCCTAGAAACTGGAGTGTGAATTATCTGGCTATCCCCATGCCCTTCTCAGTCCCTGCAAATCGGGCCACACCACCCCAGTGGCCTGACTCCCATGCCTGGGTGCCTTTCTGAGTTCGCTTCTCTCCGGGGCATGTGTGTCCCCAGGTATCCGTAGAGCCTATGCTCCCCTTGTGAGTGGTTTGCCAATGAGCTGGGTATGGCAAAGCAGCCATGGTGCCTGCTCCATTAAATCAGGGCCTCAGGGGGTCACGGCACACATGCTGAATGGTGGGAAAGCCTATGTCCCATGGTGGTGGCACATGGCCCTGGGGGACCTCAAGGAGGGACCCGCTGTCTGTGGCAGTTAGAGAAAACGTTTTGTGGTTAGGGAGACATCTGACCTGGGCCTAGAAGCTCTAGCTTTGGATTCAGGGTTTGCGGCCACACCTCTCCCACATCTGAATTGGTAGAGGGGATTGTGAAGGCCACAGGGTCATCCTGCAGGCTGCACACTGCATGCTGTGGGGAAGGACGCTCCTCCTTCCGCGTGCACATGCCACTTACATGCCTTCTATCTGTGGTCCACAAAAGTCCCAGAAGCAGTCACTGTCACTGGCCTGTCTGCCCATGGGTGCTGAGAGGTCAAGTATGTGCGTTCGCCTCACCAGCTCCTGTGAAGCTGGCCTGGCCCAGAGTCCAAGGGCATTATGGGTCAGCCACTTCCCTTGATGTCTGGGGCCAACTGCCTTGCCTGCTTCACCTCAACTGAGGACACAGAGTGACCACGGCTCTGCCAGCATCCTCTTTCTAGGGTCCAAGGACAGTAAACAGGTGTTCCCCACCTGCCATCTTTGGTCAGTGAGTGGAGTCCACCTGGAGCCTTGTATGGAGGTGGTGGCTCAGCAGGAGGGCCAACCATAGGTACAGAGAGGAGGGGGCATCAGGAGCCGCCATCCCTGGGTGAGATACAGCCTCTGGAGAAGGAGCTCACTTTTACCCCCAGGGAGTCCACGTGAGCTCAGTAAGATGCTGCGTGAATGGCCTTTCCCATCTACCATCTGGGAGGACAAGTCTGGCCTCCCTGCTCTGTCCTGAACACAAACAGAGACCTTGATGATCCCGGTCACTCCCCGCAGCCCGGTCTCTGCCCTGGCCCCTCACTGACTTACTTCTTGATGGCAAACACAGTTAGCCCGATGCTGATGTTCCGGAGCCTGAACTGCTGATTGAGAATGTCGATGTTGAAGGTGCCCTCCCATATGATGGGAGCCAGCCAAGGGGTCAGCACAAGGACATCTTTCCTACTGCACATGGAGAGGGGTGTGCGGTAGCATGGAGCTGGCAGGGCGCCGCCTGCACGTGCCTCTGGGACACGGCCACCCCCACCTGGAAACCCCACTCAGCTTCCGCCTCTTCTGACCACCCTTCCAGAGGCAGCCACCATTCCCCCAAAACCAACCAGAGGCAAATGCAGACTCCAACTGGACCAGTCATCCCCAACCCTCCCTCAACATTGGATCTGCCGGACCACAGAGGGAGCTGAGCTTTGCTGGCAGAGACAGGAACCACCCCCCCGACAGACACCCTCCCCCAGCCCTCCTCCCCAGGCCTCTGCAGGGGCTTTGGTGATCAAAGAGATAGAAAACAAGAGACCAAGTCAAAGAAAGCAAAGGGAATGAGAACAGCCATGTGGGCCTCCAAATTCAGATGTCAGGGGAACCTGAGAGGAGAGAACAGCGAAGCAGCCCCAGCTGAGACTTCCATCAGGGAAACCGCCCTCTGCCCTCAGAACAGCCCCTGGAGCTGCTTGCAGTTTCAGTAACTTACTCACCAGGGTGTCAAAATCTTTGGCTGGGGGTAGACCATCCTGCAAGCACAAAGTGCCATCCCGTGAGTTTGGAGTTTGCATGGGAAGCGTGGGCTGCATGTAGGCAGGGGGCGTGCACCCTCCACTAAGGCCGCACTCCCAGGCTGGAATCGCTGTGGCTGCTCCGGGCTGTGTCAGCCCACAACCACAGGACCCCGGGGCAGGGCCAAAGCTCAGAGTCTTCGATTCAGCACTTGTAGACTGGGGAGACGGACGAAGTGACCTGAGGCCCATTGCTTTCCACTTGGCTTAAGGCTGGGAGTGACGTAAGAGGTCCTGTCTTAATACACTGTAGGCAGAGAGGAGGCTGCATGTGTAGCCCCTGTCTCTGGTCATTCCCAGGGAAAGGGCCTGAGACGTGCAGACGCCCCCACCTGGGCCTGAAGCCTGCTGGGCCTCCTTGTGGGCTGGTGGCGTCCACAGCCCGGCTTCCTCTCTGAGAAGTCAGGGAGTAACACCTGCTCCGACAGTGACACAAAGCACTGACAGGTGTCACACAGCCTGAGGGACGTGCGGGCCACAGTGATGTCCTACCTAAAGTACTGGAGAGGAGACATGAGCCGAGGCCATTTTAACTGTCAGTAATGGCCACAATTTGTTTTTTTGAGACAGAGTCTCACTCTTGTTGCCCAGGCCGGAGTGAAGTGGTGCGACCTCGCCTCACTGCAATCTCCGCCTCCCAGAATCAAGTGATTCTCCTGCCTCAGTCTCCCGAGTAGCTGGGATTACAGGTACTCCCCACCACACCACTAATTTTTGTATTTTTAGTAAAGACAGCATTTCACCAGGTTGGCCAGGCTGGTCTCGAACTCCTGACCTCAGGTGATCTGCCCACCTTGGTCTCTCAAAGTGCTGGGATTACAGGTATGAGCTCCCACACTTGGTAATGCCCACACTTTTAATGTCCTGTGATGGCCTTTAAAAGCAGGGAATCAGCCAAAATAGGAAGGAAATTCTGACACTTGCTACAGCCTGGATGGACTGTGAGGACATCATGCTCAGTGAATTAAGCTCGTCATAAAAAGACAGCTACCGGCCAGGCACAGTGGCTCATGCCTATAATCCCAGCACTTTGAGAGGCCGAGGTGGGCAGATCATGAGGTCGGGAGTTTGAGACCAGCCTGACCAACATGGTGAAACCCTGTCTCTACTAAAAATATAAAAATTAGCCAGGTGTGGTGACATGTGCCTGCCATCCCAGCTACTCAGGAGGCTGAGGCAGGAGAATTGCTGGAACCCGGGAGGCAGAAGTTTGCAGTGAACGGAGATTGTGCCACTGCACTCCAGTCTGGGTGACAGGAAGACTGTCTTAAAAAAAAAAAAAAAAAATTTCAGTGACTGCGGAATCCACTTATAAAAGGTAGCTGCAGTGGTCAGCCTCAGAGCCAAGCCACAGACCATGCAATGGTGAGTATCAGGAGAGCTGGGGGAAGGGACACCAGAGTTTTTATTTCATGGGGATGGAGCTTCAGTTCTGCAAGACGAAAAGAGTCCTGGAGAGGGATGGTGGTGATGGCCGCACAGCGATGTGAATGGACTTAGCAGTACTGAAGACTTAAAAATGATTCAGATGGCAAATTTCATGTTAAGTGTATTTGGCTGGGCACAGTAGCTGATGCCTGTAATTTCAGCACTTTGGGAGACCAAGGTGGATGAATCACAAGGTCAGGAGTTCAAGATCAGCCTGGCCGAGATGTTGAAACCCTGTCTCTACTAAAAATACAAAACTTAGCTGGGCATGATGACAGGAACCTGTAATCCCAGCTACTCAGGAGGCTGAGGCAGGAGAATTGCTTGAACCTGGGGGGCAGAGGTTGCAGTGAGCAGAGATCACACCGTTGTACTCCAGCCTGGTGACAGAGCAAGACTCCATCTCTAAATAAATAAATAAGTAAAATAAAATAAAAATGATTAACATAGTAAATGTTAGGTTAAGTGCATTTGACCACAATTTAAAAAAACAAAATCAAAAGCAGTGTGGGCAACTCGGCCTTGGTTGCCTAGGCTCCCCCAGGTTCAGCACTGATAAAGGCCCATATCCCGGGAAACAGCCCCCGAGGCCCAGACAGAGCAGACCAGCTGGTCCTCCTCTTGCAAAGCCAATGACAGACAGGCAGCTGGTAAAAACTGAAGCCCTGGCCGCATCATGCTCTCTGAATGGCTGCAGGACGAGGGCAGAGTCAGAGCAGAGACTGGGGAAGGAGCGGCCTCCAAGCCACAGGAGGAAAGAGGAGCTGCTCCCACATGTCTCTGCCCACACACACAGGTACCCGGCTGCAGGACAATTCTGTGACACGGGAGGCACCGAAGGAAGACGTTATACCTTGGCAATGGGACACTCTGCAGACCACCCGGGTCCCTAACAGCCGTGCTGCAGAATGAGAACACAGGAGATGAAGTTTATTCCAGCAGCAGGGATTGAGGGCACAAGCACATGGAAGCCAGCAGAGGGTCCCAGGGGAAGGCTGGAGCTCGGAGCAGAGTCCACCAGGAACAGTCACAGAACAGCCATCCCTGTGCTGATGGGCCTGGCATGGGCCCATGTGCCAGACCCTGTAAGGCCAACGCTGCTGTCTGAGGTCTGCATTTGGGGGCCCTCACAGCCCACAGGTTCACCAGACACGTCGAAGCCAAGGCTGGGCGGAGTGGAGTTTCAGAACATGTCTGCAAACCCCAAGGGCCCTCCCATCAAGAAATGGGGTCTGATATTCCTGTTTCTAAGAAAGAAAATGCGGCAGAAGTAACACTGGGTGACTTCTGAAGCCAGTGTTCTGTATCCGGCCTCTGTATCTTCTTTCTTGGGATACTGGTCTTGGAGCTTCCAAACCAAGCTGAGCAGGAGCCCAGGCCCCGGGGAGAGGCACTGGGTAGGTGTCTCAGCTGAGAGGCAGCATCAACTGCCAGAGATGCAGGGAAGTCCTTGCAATGACCCCAGCCACCCACCATCTCCCATAACTGCCTGAGGCCCCGAAGTGAACCAGCCAGGTGAGCCCCATGCACCCCAGGAAGCCCAGGGACAGATGTGATCAAGGGTTGTGATCATTTTCCATCAATGGGGTGGTGCTCTGCAGCCATGGGTCACTGACATGAGTGGGAATTAGCAGACACAGCAGGGGCCACAGCATGGGCCCAGGGGCCACAGCACGGGCACAGGCCCGGAGTTAGGACCACATGGCAGGTGGACCAGCGACAGGCCACTCTGAAGCACAGAGGGCGAGGGAAGAGGTGGGAAAATGAGGCTGGGGAGGTCAGGCAGGCAGGATCAGACCATGGACCGCCTCCTACCTTCTGTTCTGGAAAGATCACTCCAGTTACTGTGAGGACATGGGGGACAGGGCTGATGGGGATGGGGAGACAAATGTGAGGCTGTTTCAGAGATGAGGCAGCCCCAACGGACCAATGGAGCAGGGCTGCGAAGGCAGAGAGGCCGGTGGGCAGGCGAGCTGCTCAACAGCAGGGCTGGTGGGACCTGGGAACCCAGTGTAGGGCTGAGGGCAAAGGGAGAGTTGAGGATGGCAGGTGGAAGGCGACTAAGGAGGAGGGGTGTAGGCAGGGAGCAGAGACCATGTGTGGGAACTCTGGGTAAGCCTGGAGTTGGGGACTGGAGGTCAGAAGGAGGTCAAGGCTGACTCCAGAGATGTGGAGGCAGACGTGTCAGGTGACCCTTCAAGGCCACAGAGCTGGCCATGTCTACACTGGGCATAGGATCGAGAGGGGGCCCAGGCCCACCCATGTGTGTGCCCGGGAGGGGAGGGGGAGTTCCCAGAGTGGGACGCCAGCCCAGAGCCAGCACCCGGCCAGCATACACGGTCTGCCTGCCCTTCCCCTCACTCACTGTGCCTCCAGTTCCAGGCTTCCTGGCATTAGGCTTCTGGGGCTTAGGACCCCATAACTGCAGGAAGGAAGTGCGCCAAGGTTCAGGACACAGAATCAAGACTGCCTGTCGATCCCTTCCTCCAAACAGCACATTCTGGGGCCAGCCATGAGCACAGGAGTCCCCGATGAGCTGCAAGGCCTCCAGACAGGCAGGAAACATTCTCAGCAAAGCCCAGGCACCTCACCACATACCACACCAGGAGGTGGGCAGGAGGGAATCCCTGGGGATATTGCTCATGCATGGGCACCTGCAGCAGCTGCAGAAGGCCCCCCCACCCCCATGCCTTGGTCAGCGCAGCCCCCGAGGCCACCTCAGGGCCATGTCCACAAATGCCCCACTCTGTGGTTCTGGGACCTTCTGTGCCTGGAAGCAGCTAACAGCTCGGGACCCAGACTTGCCTTCCCCAGCCCCAGCCACGCAAGGGGCTCGCTCTCCCAGCCCCAGACTCCCCACTTATGAAAATTTTAAATGGGAGAGTGAGGAGTGCATTGCCCAGTGAGGCTTAAATAAGGGAGCAAGTAAACACACCTCACCCGCAGCCGGACAGGGGCAACAACTGTCCTTAGGACGCTGATGGCTACTGTGATGCTTGGGGGGCTCAGGGGGTTCCCATGGGTCTGATTAGCTGCTGTGGCCACTTCTCCCCAAACCAGGCCAGCTCCAATGGGCAAATGTGTCTTACCCAAACAAGACCAAGACAAGCATTGTTAGGAAAAGGATCACAGGTAGAGGTGAGTAGCATTTTGGATTACCTGGAAAACAGGAGGGGAAAAATCAGATCACTCACCCTCCTTCTCTCACCTGCCCCAGTTTACGTGTCCTGTCTTGTGATTCAGGCACCAGACCCTTCGAGGGGCCTTCATCTGCCAAGACAGTCCCTCTGTGCCACAGGGGACTCTTTCAGCCCCCCATGAGCATCTGCAAAGCCAGTCCAGACCCGGCCCTCCTCCCCATCAGAGAACAGGGAGGCGATCTGCTCCTCCCAGCTCATCAGCCTGACTGCTCCCACAGACTCTGAGTGTCACCCCGGCTTCCCAATGACCTCCTTCCACTCAGCGTCCTCTTCCCACGGGAGACCGAAGGGAACCACACTGAAATGAGCACCTTGAGGTCACTGTTGAACCCAGTGGGGAGGCCAGGAGAGCCTCATGGCCAGGCTGAGCCAGGAGGTCAGACCAGTTCCTGCCACGTAGAGGAGTCACCAGCCTCCCCCGGTGTCTCCCTGCCCTCTCAGAGGCCCATGCCCTGGAAGCAATCAGTGGTGTTTCTTTTAAGGTAATTTTGATGTATGTTCAAGTCACGTGCTGTAGTTCCCCCATATCCACGCCTTCACTTGCTGCAGTTTCAGTGACCCGTGGTCAACCAAAGGCCAATAATAGGTGAGTACAGTGCAGTAAAATATTTTGAGGACAGGTCTGGGGGCTCATGCCTGTGATCCCAGCACTTTGGAGGCTGAAGCAGGAGAACTGCTTGAAGCCAGGAGTTCTAGACCAGCCTGGGCAACATAGTGAGAACTCACTTCTATCAAAGGAAAAAAAATTAGCTGAGCATAGTGTTGCACCACTATGGTCCCAGGAGGCTGAGGTGGAAGGATCACTTGAGCCTAGAAGGTCAAGGCTGCAGTGAGTCATGAATGTACCACTGCACTCCAGCCAGGGTGACAGAGCAAGACCCTGTCTCTTAAAAAAAAAAAAAACCCACAAATTAAGATACATATATATTTTGAGAGAGATCACATTCACATAACCTTTATTACAGTGTATTGTTTTTGTTGTTTTTGAGATGGAGTTTGCTCTTGTTGCCCAGGCTGGGAGTGCAATGGGGCTAACTCGGCTCACTGCAACCTCCACCTCCCGGGTTCAAGCGATTCTCCTCCCTCAGTCTCCAGAGTAACTGGATTTACAGGTGCCCACCACCATGCCCAGCTAATTTTTTGTATTTTTAGTAGAGACAGGATTTCACCACGTTGGCCAGGATGGTCTCGAACTCCTGACCTCAAGTGATCCGCCTGCCTTGGACAATATATTGTTATAATTGTTCTATATTATTATGATGGCTGTGAGTTCCATCCTGTGCCTAATTTATAAATTAAACTCTTTCATAGGCATATGTGCATAGGGGAAGACAGTCTGTACAGGGTTTGGTACCAGCCGTGGTTTCAGACACCCACTGGGGATCTCGGAACGTATCCCCACAGATAGGAGGGGCTCCTGTTTTCACAAGGTCAAGCCTGGAAGCCTTCTGTCTCCCGGCCCGGTTCCTATTCCTTCCCCTGCAATCAGTCCCTTTCAGCTAATTGTTCTGTTGCTTCTTATCTCATAAAGCTTGTCTGTATTTACCTCCGTCTTTCTAAATCCTGTGAGCATAGAACAGTTTATCTCGAATAGCTTCCTCAAACAGAAACGTGGGAGGCAAAATTTGAACTTTACACGTCTTAAGTTATTTTTTCCACTTTTCTAGTCGGTAGATTGTTTGGCTGTAGAGAAATCTAGATGAAAATAATTGTCCTTCAATTTGGCAGAAATTATTCCATTTTTAAAAACTTTGAAAATCAACTTCATTCGAGGGATAACTTACATCCAGTAAAATCGATCCACTTTAGGTGTACGGTTTTGAGGAGTTTTGAACAATGCACACATGTAATCACCCCTCCCACCCCCTGCCGAAACAAGATAGGCAACATTTTCATCACCCCAATAAGGTCCCTCCTGACCCCAGATCTGATTCCCTGGTGTTTCCCATAAGCGGAATCGCCTGCCACATGCTCTTTTATGTCTGGCTGGATCACACGGCATGACCCTTGAAGATTCACCTACACTGTCCCTGTATCAGTTGTTCATTCTTGCTTATTGCTGAGAAACGCCATTGTTAACACACCACAATTGGTTTATCCTGTCTCCTATTGACAGACATTTTGGTTTTTATGGTTTGGGGCCCCTAGCAACAAAGCTTCTGTAGACACTCATGTGCAGGGATCTGTGGACCTGTGTTTTCATTTTCCTTGAGTAAATACCAAGGAGCAGAAGAGATGAATCATGTGGTAAGCGTGTGTTTAACTTTTCCCAAAGCAGTTACTTAATTCTCCTTTCCCACCAGCAATGCAAGAGAAGTGCAGGTGCTCCACCTTCCAGCAGACACCTGACGGCCGCTCCTTTACGTTTTAGCCTCCTAGTGGGTGAGCAGTGGTGTCTGATTGTGGCCAGTGACTAAGCAGGACAGTCATCTTTTCATGTGTTTATTGGCCATTTGTTTGATTCTTATGAAGCCTGTTCAAATGTTTTGCTCATTTTATTATTTTATTTTATTTTGAGACAGACTCTTACTCTGTCACCAGGCTGGAGTGCAGTGGCGTGATCTTGGCTCACTGCAACCTCTGACTCCCTGGTTCAAGCGATTCTCCTGCCCCAGCCTCCTGAGTAGCTGGGATTACAGGCACATGCCACCACGCCCGGCTAATTTTTGCATTTTTAGTAGAGACGGGGTTTCACCATGTTGGCCAGGATGGTCTCCATCTGCTGACCTCATGATCTGCCTGCCTTGGCCTCCCAAAGTGCTGGGATTACTGGTGTGAGCCACCACACCCAGCCCATTTAAATATTTATTTATTTACTTGTATATATTTTAGGGGACACAGTCCCACTCCAGTTGCCCAGGCTGGAGTGCAGTGGCAGGATCACAGCTCACTGGAGCCTCCACTTCCTGTGCTCACGTGATCCTCCCAACTTAGCCTTTTGAGTAGCTGGGACTACAGGTGTGCACCAACACACCTAGCTAATTTTTGGGGGTTTTGATAGAGAGGGGTTTCACCATGTTGCCCAAGCTGGTCTTGAACTCCTGGGCTCAAGCGACCCACCTGCCTCAGCCTCTCAACATGCTGGGATTACAGGCATGAGCCACCTCACCCAGACATTCGTTTTTATTTTATTTTAGAGACAGGGTCTTACTCTGTCACCCAGGCTGGAGTGCAGTGTCATGATCACAGCTCATTGTGACCTCAAATTCCTGTGGTTAGGCCATCTTTCCCCTCAGCCTCCTGATTAGCTGGGACTACAAACAATCACCAACACACTTGGCTAATTATTCTACTGTTTATAGACACTGGGTCTCCTTTAAAATTGAGTTGTTTCTCTTTTATTATTGAGCAGTAGAATTTATTTCTCTATTTTGGATACAGGTCCTTTGCTAAATGCAAATATTACAAATATTTTCTTGCCAGGCACAAAAAGACAGACACTGCATGTTCTCACTTATGTGTAGTATTGAAACATCAAAACAATTAACTCATGGAGATAGAAAATAGGAGGATGGTTAGCAGAGACTGGGAAGGGCCGTGGCAGGGGTGGGAGGGTATGTGGGATGGTTAATGGGTACAAAAAAGTAGAATGAATAAGACCTAGTATTTGATAGCATAACAGGAGACTATAGTCAATAGTAATTTAATTATACCCTTGAAAATAACTAAAAGAGAGGCCAGGCACAGTGGCTCGAGCCTATAATCCCAGCACTTTGGGAGGCTGAGGCAGGTGGATCACCTGAGGTCAGGAATTTAAGACCAGCCTGGCCAACATGGTGAAACTTCATCTCTACTAAAAATACAAGAACTAGCCTAGCCAGGTGTGGTGGTGCGCGCCTGTAGTCCTAGCTACTCGGGAGGCTGAGGCAGGAGAATCGCTTGAACCTGGGAGGTGGAGGTTGCAGTGAGTTCAGATGACACCACTGCACTCCAGCTTGGGTGACAGAGGAAGACTCCATCTCAAAAAAATAAAATAAAATAACTAAAAGAGTATAATTGGATTGTTTGTAACACAAAGGACAATTGCTCAAGGGGATGGACACCAGTTCTCCATTATGTGAATTTCCATTGTATGCCTGAACCAACATATCTCATGGACCCCATCAGTATATACACTATGAACCCATAAAAATTAAAGACCAAATACTTCTTAAAATCAAGTATTTTCTCTCAGTCTGTGGCTTGATTATTCATTTTTCCTTAATTTTTTCTTTTGAAGGGAAGTGGTAATTTTGATAAACACTAATTTATCCTTATTAAAATGAAACCATTTTATGGTTTGAGCTTTTTTGTCTCATCTATTAAATTTTTGCCTGCCACAAGTTTATGAATATTTTCTCCAGAATTTCATAATTTTTGTATATGGTGTGAAAGGCCCCTTTCTTCCCCCAATGCATATCCAGGCATTTCAGCCATTTGAATTGAAAATATTTTCCTTTCTCCATCACATTATCTTAGCACCATTATCAAAAAGCAACTATTTAAAAAATCAATTGACTATATCTGTGTGGGTCTATTTCTAAACTCTGCATTCTATTCCACTGATCTATCTGTATATCCTAATCAGCCTATTCTGATTACTGTAGCTATGTAATCTACCTTGAAATCCAGCTTGGAAGGTAAGTCTTCCAACTCTTTTTCTCTTTTTCAAATTGTTTTGACTAGTCTGAGACCTTTGCATTTCTATATAAATTTTAGAATCAGCTGTCAGCTTTACAAAAACTTCCTCTGGAGTTTCAAGTTAGATTATGTAGACTCTATAGATCCATCTGGGGAGAAGTGACAGTTTAGCAGTATAAGTCTTCCAATCCATGAGCATGGTATATCTCTCCATTTATTTGTGTCTTCTTTAATTTTTGTCAGCAACATTTTGCAATTTTGTTTTTTTTTGTGGCTTTCTTTCCTTGCCCTGCTCTACTCTGCTTTGCTTTGTCAGGGTCTTGCTCTGTAGCCCGGGCTG